TCGTAGACATTGTTCTTGGTACTCTCCCCGCCACAAGAGATAATCTCCTCCCAACAGGACCACACGGCATAGCTGCTGCCAATCACTGGGTGTTAAATTTTGGGAAGTATATGACTCCACCATGGTCATAGTAAAAGCAGCCTGGACCCCGTAGGTCGCCACAGCCTCTTTAAGGCTTTTTAGGTCTTTAAACTGCAGTGCAAGATGTTGTCGTTGTACCTGACCTTGTTGGTTAGGGTCGGGAACTTCTATTACTGGTGCTACAATACGCAGCCTGAAACACACCCCGACCCTTGGCTCTACATCATTTTTATAGTCTGGCGACCTCCACCACCACTCTTCCATGGGTGGAGCCAAGGGAGGAGGATGATGTGTCTTTTCCTTTAACCTGATATGTTTTAATTTTGTTTTTAGTTCCTGTATTTCCCTGTGAAGCATCTCCTCCTCCTCTTCCTCTGAGCTTCCCTCACTACTTTCAGGAGATTCAGGGTCATAGGGACCCAGTTTATGTGGTCTTGATGTGGCAGAGCTTAAGACTCCTGAACCTCCACATGCCCCTCTTTCCTGGTCTAGATCATCAGCAGATCCCAAAGAGCAGCGGGTTTCCACCTCCTGTATTTCTTGCAAAACTTCCTTCGCTGCCTCAAGTTCTTGTCTTACTTTCACTTTGTTAATAAAGCGTCTCTAACCAGGCGCCACAAAGAAAATGTAGCTATTGGGAAGGTATCACTGCCTTCCTTTTGCAACTTCTTTTGACAATCCCGTCTTACTTGTTCCCAGTCAGGGATATTTAGTCCCCCTCCAGTTAGGAACCAGGGACTGGCTGCTGCTATTGTTTTAATGAAAGTGTGTGTCTACTGTCTTTGTTTTTACTGCTGTTCCTTGTTCTTCTAGCAGTTTCTTAACCTGATATTGCAATTCCTGTTTACTGCTAGTATTACCCATGGTAACCCCAATACGCCCCTGCCGGCCTGGGACGACCCTGTCCGCTTACCTCTTTTTCTCAGATCTCAGTGGGACCTCTGCGGTGGCACGAAGCTGATCTCCAAGCAGAGGACGTCAGGATTGAAGAGACAATCACACTTTTATTGTAGCAGAAGAAGCCTTTATTTCTCAGCCCCAGGTTGCTTTTATACCCTAGCCCAGAAGGCAGCTGACCCAACAGGGGTGGGGGAGCAGTAGCATGACTGCAGGATCAGTGCCAGGTCATGGTGTTCTCAGGACCTGATACCGGAAAATGAGCTGGTAAACAATTCTGAGACTGAGGAACCATGAGGCTCAAAAGGTCACTGCGGGGGAGGTGCAGATGGAGGCCAGGACAGCATGTCCCAACAAAGTGTTGAACTTCAACATTGCCAAAAACAGAGGAGGAGGAAGAGGAGGATAAGGAGAGGAAGGAGGAGAAGGAAGGGAGGGGAGGGCAGGGGAGAGAGGGAAGGGAAGGGAAGGAAACTCCAAAACAAATCTATAACACGACTACAACTGATGTTTGAGTTATAAAGGAAAAGCGGAAACCCCAGACCAGATGGACCAGAAGGTCAGGTATGCCTTCAAAGAAACTTTACCTCAACGGAGCCATGAAGGATAAGAAGGAAGACTCCTAGGAGGACCAGAAGGAGACCATATACCCTAACCCTGAGGAAGAAGAAGTCTGCAAACTAAAAGAGCAGTTCACTGAACCAGAAGAGGAGGCTGGAGGCATAGAGGGACCAGCTCCCTTCAAAATGAGCCTCCACAGGAGAGTCAAGAGTTGGGTGTAGTGATGGAGCAGACATGGAGGGTGAGGGTTGGAGGGGCTGCCACGGAGTGTGGAGAGGAGCTGTGCTCACAGCAGGGATGGAAAATCAAAAGACTGCAGGATTTCCATCAAAATGCCCATCTCCAGCACTTCTCCAAGTGTGTTTCATCTGGCCCCTTGCATCACCTGCAGCATGTGTTCACAAAGCAAAGTCTTAGGCCTTCTTCCTAAGCTATTTTAACTCATGTACTCTGCTTTAGATGTTACTGTTCCTGAGTCAACTTCCAAGCCCAGATTTTGTCACCTCCAGCTCCCCTCTGCTCTCACAGCCACAACCCCACACCCTGGAGGCCCCATGTTTAACATCTCAGCAGAGTGATTCCTTCCTGAAACTGTGAGCCTGGGGCTGTGCATACCATGTCTAGCGGGGAAATGCTGTCCAAGCTCACCACCTGCACGTCCACACCCACAGGGATGGCAGGGCCTGGGGGGAAGTAAACACAGCTGATTAAGACACAGTCTTCTCTGACTTGGGGTTGAGAAACAGTCCAGCACCTTCCCTGGGAGCAAGGGCTATTCCAAGGTGAAACAGTGGCTTGGAATTCTTGGGGGAGGGTTGCTAGTTCCCGACATATAGGGGTACCTGCACTTTATCACTAAGGTCAGAGACTGGGTCTGCTCTATGTGCTGTTCCTAGACCAAGATGAATGTTCATCTACTCTTGCGGGTTGAATTTAAGAGTTGGACCGTGGCTGTCTACATATCAGAGCTGTGTCTGTAGAGTGGATGGAGATAATAGTGTGACTCCAGTGCCAGAGTGGAAATCCTGGTCACCATGCTCCTGTGACATTCAAAAAGACAGAAAAAGCTCTCAAGCCTCTGATCTTGGTTGGATGACCTTCTACCTACAGAGGGACTGCATATAGCTAGGGTCTTGCTCTTTAGGAGCCTTCAATCTAGGATGAGACAAATCTGAAATGTTAGGTCCTGCTGCATTGCTGAGAAGGACAGGTTGGACAAGGTTCTATAGTACTGGGTTTCATCTGGTCTCTGGCCAGATTTCTAAAACTGTTTGTGTTTTGTCTAGGGGGCCCTGTCTTTTTTCTTGAACTGGATGATGGTTGCATTCATGTTTATTCTGTGAGAGTTCAGTAAGCTGAATACTGATAATTTGGGTACTTTTCTATACTTATGTATTGCAGAAAAATGTCTTAATGACTTTGGTATTGATGATGCCAGGCATGGTGGTACACACCTGTAATCTCAGCTATTCCAGAGGCTAAATCAGGAAGATTGATTGCAAAGTTGAGATCAGCCTGGGCAACAGCCAGACTGTCTCAAATTTTTTTAAATAAAATATTTTTAATTAAAAAATTAATATTAAAAACCATAGAAGGAAAAAAAAAAACAAGAACTTGGGGGCTGGAGAGATAACTCAGAGGTTAAGAATACCAGCTGCTCTTACAGAGGACCCAGGTTCTGTTCCCAATACCTACATGACAGCTAACAACCATCTGTAACTCTAGTTCCAGGGGATCAGGCACTCTCTTCCGACTTCCAAGGGCACTGCACATATGTGGTACACTTACATACATGTAGGAAAAACACCCATACACATACACTAAAAATAAATAAGTCAAAAATAAAATTGAAAAAAAAAACAAGAACTTGGGGCTGAAGAGATGGCTCAGCGGTTGAGAATACTGGCTGTTCTTGCAGAAGATCTGGGTTCAAATCCCAGCACCCACATGGCAGCTAACAACTGTCTGTAACTCCAGTTCCAGAGGATACGAAAGCCTCTTCCATCCTCCACAGGTATTGCATGACATGGGTGTGCTTACCTACATGCAGGCAATACATGCATACTAACAAATACCTTTACATTCACAGCCAAGCAAGTCTTCTGGAGTCAGGTGGAGGCTGAGCTCCACCCTCTGGGAAGAGGCACAGTCCAAAGCTGTGCATCTAGGCCCTTGAGTTCTGACCAGGATGTTCTGCCCTATGGACGTCTGAGAAGGACAGCCCTAAGGGTTGGGGATTCAGGGTCTCGGGCCCTGAGGGACTGAAACTTTGGCTGAAGCAGGGAAGGGGTCAGATGTCCAGAGCAAGTAGGAATTGGAGGACTCCATCTGTTACTATAGGATTGAAAGGATATTTTTGATGCTCTTAAACATAAAAGATGAACATAGATTTTTTTTTTTTTTTTTTTTTGCCTCAGATAAATCAGGGTGTAAGGTGTCTTTCTAGCTTCCTCTGTTGCTCAGTTGATGACTTAGGTTACAACCTATAAGAACTCTCTACTCAGGCACTGGAAAGATGGCTCAGTGATTACGAACACTTGCTGTTCTTTCAGAGGACCCAGGTTTGATTCCTAGCACCCACATGGTTGCTAACAACTGTCTGTAACTCCAGTTCCAGGGGATCCAGCACTGTCTTCTGGCCTCTGTGGGCATTGCATGCACATGGTGCACCTACATACATACAGGCAAAATTCATACAAATAAAATAAAATAATAAATTGAAAAAATAAATCTCTACTCTTGGTCAGTGAGATGATTCAACAGGTAAGAGTGGTTGCCAAAAAGCCTAATGATGTGAGTTCAATCTCTGGAACCCACATAGTGGAAGGAGAGAACCAACTCCTGCAAGTTGTCCTAGGTCTTTCATTTGTGCTCCATGGTACACACACACACACACACACACACACACACACACACACAACTAAATGTAAAAAGAAACTCTGTTCTGACAGCCATATTCTCTTCTTATTTCAGACTCCAACGATGCTTTGAAGGTGCCAGAAGTAGAATGGGTTAGGGGTTGGAGAACAACTAGCCTGCCTTCTCTGCTCCCTAAAGACTTGCAGTGTGAGGACAGGTCCTCAAGCAGCCTGGCCTAGACCTTCTCCCAGTACCCAGATACCCACCATCACCCCAGTGCTATGAGTCCTCAGACTGGCATCAAAGAGTGTGAGCTGGTTAATTATCTCATCTTCTAGACACTTCTGTAATCTGAGATGTTGAAATGGCCCAAAGTAGGGACCCTAAACCCCTGGATAGAGCTGCTTCCTATGAAAAATGTGCTGTTTTCTGCTCTGCTTCCTTTACTCCCTTTCCCCCAAGTGCCTGGTGACCCACTACATTACAAGAACCAAAGGCTAGAAATCATAGAGTGCCTGCTCTCACTGGAAATCCAGTGGCCTGGTATTCAGACAGTATGTACAGTGTTGGCAGAAGCTGTGTGCTCAGGATGCCTTTCAGCTAAGACACATAAGCGTGCATGGTGTCTATTACTGAGCTTCTCTGTTCTCTGGGCCTGGCATGCTCCAGCCACCCTTTTAAGGAGAAATTTGACAAAAATCTCTGAGGGAGATATCTGTGCTTCCATGACACGTCCCAGGAGTCGTGACAGCCAAGGCCTCAGTGCCCTGAGCTGTGGAAGGCTCCACAGCTCCCTGGGGCACCTGCTCCTCAAGTCTAAATGGAGACCAGCAGCCGGCCCTTGGTGGGCTGCACTTTTTGGCCCATCCCACTGCCAAGCTTACCTGAGCAGTACTCTGGGCCCTTCCTCACATGATTTAGGGGCATTCCTCCCAGTTAATGGTCTCTTCTATCACCGGTCTTATGTTTTTGGTAAGAGTTCTATCAGGTTAGAGGAAAAGTAGTTAACCCAGAGGCTCATGACTTGGCTCCATAGCATCACTGTGGGTTCTTCTGACCTAAAGGAGGGGTCTGGTAAGCTGATTCCAAGACCACAGAAGCATGTCAGGCAGAACAGACAGTGAAGTGACCAGTTCAAGGCCATAGAAGAGAAATGCCCGTGTCTCACTAAGGTTCAGTTTTGGCATTTCTGCCTCTACTTGTCCCACAAGACCTGAAAAATACCGTGAAGGATTGTAGATTTTTTAATAAAAATACATGTCATTTCTTCCTCACTGGCTCCTCAAGAATCAATGTTGAGCCAGCAAAATAGCTCAACAGGTAAAGGTACTTGCTGCCAAGTCTGACAACCTGAGCTTGATTCCTGCGTCCACATGGTGAAAGAAGAACCAACTCTAGCAGGTTATCCTCTGACCTCCATACATGCACTGTGGTACAACACCCGCCCCCCCATAAATAAGTGTAATTTAAAAAGAATCAGTGTGAGACAGGGTCTCCAGGCAGACAAGCTGAGGGAACTTGACGACGGGTCCTGCCCCATGTGAGTGTTTTTCTTTTTTTTTTTTTTAATTTTATTTATTATTTTTAGCTGCTATGTGGGTGCTGGGGTTCAAACCCGGGTCTTCTACAAGAACAACCACTGTTCTTAGCCATCTCTCCAGCCCGTGAATGTTTTTCAAAAAGGAAAACTGAGGTTAAAAAGAATGAGGAAAAGGGCACATGTGCAGAATTTAAATGAACACTGATCTTTTTAAATCCTAATAATATATTGTGTAGTTGAAAAACTCAAATCAAAATATGCCATCAAAATATCTTTTAAGCAGATCAGGTATCAATGGCCTACAAGCATCCCGAAGTCTTTCCATTATCTGGGAGAATAGTAAAAGATTTACAAACAAATATGAGAAACCAAGGACTCAGGCTATTTTCTAGGTAAGAGTATGCATTTTCCTAACTAAAATAGGAGTAACCACATAAAAGCAATCCAAAGAAAAGCAGAGAGAAAAGGAAGGAACATATATACATATATAATTAGAAAATCTCTGTATATTTGAAAACTAAATAATATTCTTCTGAAAATCCATGTATCAATGAAGAAATAATGGTGAAAATTAGAAATTTTTAAAAGATTTTTAGTTATGTGCATGTGTATTGCCTGCCTGTGGTTACATGCACCTATATGGGGGTGCCTGTGGATGCCAGAGGCGTCAGGTCCCCTGAAACTGAGACTGTAGGTGGTTGTAACCTGACGTAGATGCTGGGGAAAGAGCTCACAGAAGTGCTTCAACCAGAGCAGAGCCTTTTCTCCAACTCCCAAAGTAGAAATTTTTAAGTGATTTTTTAAAAAAATACACATAAAAATGTATGGAATGCAGGCTAAATATGTCTTACAGGGGAATTTATAACCTTAATTGAATCTGTCAGGAAAAAAAGAAATGTTTAAATTTAACAAGCTTAACACCCAGCTTAAAAAGTTAGAAAAAGAGGCTGGGAACGTAGCTCAGGGGTAGAGCATAGGTCCTGAGTTCAATCTCAGCACCAAAAGTAAAACAAGAAGTTAGGAACAGAAGGGTGTTAAAGCAGATAGAAGGAAACCGTCAAGCTAAGAACAAAAAGTGTTGAAATAGAAATAAATGTGCCTATAACAAGTCAACAAAGACAAATATTGGCTCTTTGAGAGAAAAAATAAAACTGATAAAATTAGCTGGGCATGGTAATACACACCTTTAATCCCAACATTTGAGAGACAGAGGCAGATGGATCTCTGTGAGATCCAGGCCAGTCTGGTACATAGCAGGTTCTAGGCCAGTTGGGACTACAGGGA